GGAAGCACCTGTGGTTGCGGACGGAGCGGGTCTGTATGCAGTAGCAGCATCCGTGACCATGAGAGGCAGCTCTGGGGAGCAGGTGTCCTGCATCATCAGAAATTCCCTCCTCGGCCTGGAAAAGACAGCCAGCATTTCCATCGCGGGTCAGTGCCTGCTTGGCCTCAGCTTTACTGAGGCAGTTGAATGAAGGGGGATGTGTGAATTTCTACTGTGTGAGTCTCTGGAGTCGACCTGGGTCTCTGCACTGCATGTAAGGCCCAAAGCAGGGACCTGGAGGCTCCTGCCTGCTCCAAGGGAGCTTCCTTCCTCTACAAAGCTGTTCATGACACAAACATTTACTGAACATTTCCTGTCTGCCTAAAAGTATGAAGCTGCATATGGAAAGTCAAATGACAAAAGAGGAAAATTTATATATAACATACACACACACACACACAGACTCATATTATAGAGAAACAGCTAATCTCTTTGAGACAGAAGATTTTAAAAACCGAGTAAAAAATTTTAACAAAGGTCATAAGTTATTAATTTACAGAAAAGGAAGTAACTCACAAAAGGGTGCTTATTCTCACTCATTAGAGAAACATATACTGAGTCATTTTTTACTTATGGTATTGGCAAAAATCAAAACAAATCTCTGTTGGTTGATAGCACGTGGTTATGGCAGGAATGAAGATGGGAATCTGCTGGTATGACTTGTATTTTTGGTGTATATTAGCACAGTCTCTGTTGGGGGCTCTATCCAAACGATATATTTAGTGATCCAAAATTCCGCTTCTGGGAGTTTATCTGGTAGATAAGATTGCATTTGTGTGAGGTAATCCATGTGAAACGTTATTTCTTATGGCACTGATTATGACTGCACAAGGTTAGAAACCATGCAGATGTTCACTGCTGGGGAACTTCCGTGCAATGGCTACCACTCAACTGTGGGAGAAAAAAGAGATCATTATTTCCATACTGATACGGAAGGATCTCCAAGATGAACTTTGCACAGAAAGAGCAAAATGCAGAATGGTGTATAGAATGCTATCTTTAGTGCAAATAAGAGGAAAAGCAAGAATATATTTTTATTTACAATTTTTAACTTAACAAGCAATGTCATAACACTCACTACATGTCATGCACTTTGTAAGTGTTAATTTAATCCTTTTAACTTCAGGAGGTAGGTATTATCATTACCCCAATTTGAAAGAGTAGGACAGCAGGAACAGAGAGGTTAAGTAATTAGTCTAAAGTCACACTGCTAGTCACCTAAAGGAGCCAGCATTGACACTCAGGTTCTCTAGCTCCAAAGTTCCTGTTCTTAAGCATCCTATTAAGCAGACTAATTTGAAGCTAAGAAAGGGAGGGTGGGAGGGAGGACTGGGTGGACGGGAGACTTGAATCACTTTTTATATATATATTTTTGAACCATGTAAATGTGTTACCAGTTAAAAAATTGAATTAGAAAAAAATGTGTATAATCTGCTCAAGTCGCTCACTTTCCACATGAGAGGCAGACATCTCAGGAGAACTAATAGTAACAGCCTCTAGTGGGGGTTTATCAAAGTCTTACCCACAGTCCTCTGAGATTTTAGGATGAAAAAGATTATTTAACCTCATGAGATAGATTTCGTGCCCTGTGACCTGGGGTGGGCAGCTAACACTTGGGGCGCCGCAGTCTGGGGGTGCTGAGCGCGCGGCCCCCATGGCCCACAGCCCTCCCCTTCACAGACCCCTTCTTCAAGAGTGCCCAGAGCTGGATCGCCGCCCTGGCCGGGACCCTGCCTGTCTTGCTACTGCTTCTCGCCGTAGCCGGTTACTTCTTGTGGCAACAGCAGGAGAAGAAAAATACTCTGTCCAGAAAGAAAAAGAGAGAGCAACAGTTGGGAGAAATGGCATGGAACACAATGAAGCAAGAACAAAGCAAAACAGGTAGCTGACCCCAGGAGGTTATCTGAGCCCCTGGCTTACAGGCCAAGGCCCAAAGACCTCACGCCCATCCCCACCCCAGAGCTGGGTCATTTTTAAGGTTTATTTTTTGAAAAACCCCTCACCTGTAACAGTTCATTGCTTTCTCTGCTTATTTTTCAGTGAAGCTCCAGGAGGAACTGAGTAAGTTCCCATTCCCCCAGAGACCCAGGCATGTCCTCCTGTCCCTGCTTTCAGCGCCCTGATGCATCTTCCCCGTTTATTCCATTGCAGGGTGGAGAAGCATCCAGTACACGGCTTGTAAGTGGCTCTGACATCTTCTCTGAATTTGAATCTGTAACGTTCTGTGCTTCAATAGTTTCCACTCTTAACTCTTTCCCCAATGTTGGGAAGTGGTCTTTGATCCCTTTGACTAGGGAAAGAAAATAAATGTGCCAATTCCTAGTCATTGCCAAAAAAGAAAAAAGAAAAGTGTGACTCATTGGATGGAGTAACACCCAGGAGGAGTGTTTCTTTAGCTCTCTCGTTCTCTCTCTCTCGACTGGTCTCAAAGAAAAGATGCCTTCAATTTCTCTCTACTAGGGGCCACAGACTCTATAGCACTATAAAGCGCTGAGAAATATCCAGGCATACACTTATAAAGGAACGGGGAAGAGGTGGATAAAGTGCACTCTCTGTGGTAGGAACTTCACTAGTCATTTTACATAATCTACAGGCTCCAGAGAAGAAAAGAATAAAAGATAATAAAGAACAAGAAAATTAGAAAAAAGAGACAGAGAAAAGAGGAGCTTGAACAGTTGCTCAGTTGGTACCAATTTATTCTAACTGCCTTCAAAAACTATTCCCTGAAATTTCTCATTAAATTTCCCAAATTCTTTGCAGAGTAAGGTAGGATTGAGATAGAAGAATCTTACACACACACACATACATACATACACACACACACACACATATATATACACATATTTATATATACACACATATATTACATATATATATATGCACGTAGACATGGTGACACCAGGAGGATAGATACATTCCAAATAGATCAGCCGAATACCATCGGGAAGAAACTCTCACAGTGTTTGCCATGTCACTAGCATTCGACTGATGTTCCTGGATTTGATATTAAGAACAACACCATAGAGAGAATTGAACCTGCAGAGGAAGAAGGTACCGGTGGTTTAAAAAAAAAAAAAAAGATCAGATGGATGTAAAAGTAAGGGAATGGGGCCAACTCAAACATGGCAAGTTGAGGTGACATCTCTAACTTTCTTTCATGGTAGGGAGAGAGACACCTTCGGCCTATAATGGTGAGTGAACCTGATGCTTTCTGAGTTTGCTGGGTCATGTGCCATGAACATTTTAACCTTTTCTTTGCTGTGACCTATGGATGTTGTCAGTTGCATTATAGATTTAACCCAAAGACTCAATTTCTGTGTGGTGGGGGGTTGATTTCTGCTTTTCTGGAGAATCTAAGAGACTCCTGACCCTGCACACCTCCTTGCAAAGCCTGGCCTTGCAGCCTGCACCCCTCATGACAAGAGGGAACAGAGCCTGCCATTTCTGAGAAGGTGCCACCCCAGATCCATCAGA